ATAATAAAGTCGTCCAGTTTAACATTTATAGATTTACCATACGTCAAGCATGTAGCTAACATTGTGAAGGGTCCTAATCGGCGCCGTCGCTTCGATCCGTATTACACCAATATATCGCAGCACGAAATCTTGAATTTGCTCCCGACATATCTCTTTGATACCCGCCGACATCTGCAGTTGATGTTTCCTTTACGACTATAGACGTTAATATAAAGCACACGATGGGACATTTTTTCACAGTTAGGCTATAGATCAAGGAACACTATGAGTGGCCTTCTGGAGCCTGTAGAGAGAAAAGGGTCTGAAAAAAAATTTTAGCAAAGCACCCCCCTAGATCTGTTAAAACCTCAACCACACAACGATGGACCAACCGAGAGGCGGCGACTCGAGGACTAAAGAGTAAAATTGACTTCAATACGAAAAACAAATTACATAGAAACTATCTGCCATATGACCACGTGGAACGAACGGGGCTTATATTTTACCAGGCATCACCTATTGAGAGTATATTAATCGAGCTATACTCTCGGAAACAGAGCCTGCGCTCATGAATCCACGAGCAATACTTCACATTTATTCGTAAGTCTAACAACTATACAAGCGGATGGCGGCCAAACAGGGTTGTAAACTTTTTTACGCTACAGTAGGTTAAAGGTGGCGTGATCATGACCGACCGCTACTTGTCTTCGAATGTAATAGCGTTCGTATACTTCATGTCCTCAGTGAGTCGTCTGTATACGTGTATTGATTCGTCGTTGACGGCGTGCTAAAGCGAAGGCACTGGCTATCGCTTCAGCCTGACCTTATCGTAAACACAAGTTTGCGTGATCCTTGTACTACTGCCGTGGTCATGTGGTGTGATAATGGCGGCAGCGACAATTGAAATCAGCAATTTCTATGACACTTTGTACTAGATGCGACAGTGCCATCAGCATCATTGTCAACAAAAAACAGCTTTGCTCGGATGCCTTCACCGCTAACACGATTCGTTTTCTGGCTCGTCCCATTCTACAGGACGAGACGCCTTAAAAAGGACCAGCTTCTAGCTAATGTGTTTCGATATCGCCACGTTTAATCAACATCGTGGAACTCACTGTAAATAAGCGCCCTTTGAAAATACTTGACCAAATTACAAAGCACAGATGTGCGATATGTGCGTGTTCATACCTAGAGACCTAGACGCAGATGTAGACATATATATACGTGTCCAATTACAATAACAAAATAAGTATACTTAGGTATCGTAACGCTTAATTATGCTGTCCTACGTGAGCTCTTATTTGTGCTCCGTGACGTTAGACATCTCCTGCGCATCATTTTCCCTTTGTCAGGACACAAAGTGGAACTTCGTATCAACCCTTGTTAGGCGCCTTATTAGGTTCTTTAGTTAAATGGACGTAAATTTGTACACGATGATGCGTGCATATGTTATTACCATCGAGGGCCCCTAAAAGACGGCCGGGGGGCGGTGGAGATTTCTGTCGATTGCGTTTTGTGTTTCCTGTTTGTGTTGTTGTGCGTGTTATAGTATAGAAAAGCCAGGATGATCTTTGCCTGTCGCTGTCTCTTTCTGTCGAAGTCGCTTTCTCTGTAGCCTAGAGAGCAATGAAACCCTCAGACATTGACACAGCAATAGTCCAACGTTTGTTATCATTCCAGCAGACGAAGAAGAAATGAGGAAAATCAGAACACAAAGGTTAGGTGCCCTAGGCTGATTTGTTGGGGTTTCTACGAGCTTGCGGGCACAAGGTCACGTAGTAAATGCTAATGGCTGTATTGCAAGGAGGTTAAAGTCACTTATGTGGGGAAACTTTGGAACCTGCGGGGAGATGACTCATGAGGGCTGCAAAAGACGATAATGACGACGATGTCTGAAAAAAACAAGAAGACGTTGAGGAATCTGACTTTAACATTATGCCTGCGTTACTTTAATTATCTGTATTATCCGGATCAAACTGTAAAGTCACAGGTGTATGGTGATTTCACATGGCAGCCAACAAGTAAGTGTTATATATTATTATTTCAAAAATGCAGAATGAATAATGGAACAATTATAAAGGGGTCATGCTTTCAAAGACCAGATCATGCACGGGCAGCGGTGCAAGTTCTCTGAAATTAAATCTAAAACCATAAGAGTTTTATCTATACTATAAAAGACTTATACTATACTAAGAAGGTCATATAAAATAATAGGAAGGTTACGCTAGTGAAATTTGCCGATCTGTTTTACTAGATTTATCAAGTGCATTGTAGGGCACTGTGATGTCGCGTAAACGAAGGCTGGCCAGCCAAGATCTTTACGCTGGACGTGTCATAAGGTTCAACCTACTACTAACCTAGTTGCGTTCAATTAAAAGCTACGTATTATTCTATTTCGCCCACATTACACATTGCCTTTCGTCCATGTAATAGCCAGTATCTTGCCACTTTTATGAGTTCTAGGGTAGCAGGAACAAAGAATCTAGGTTGTACTTAAACTCAAACACTTAAACAAGGAACGATTAAATCGGGCCTTATTAGAATTTCTGTCGAGGTTTTCCCTGATGTGCAAAACACACAGAAGAACAAAAAGGAAAACTGCTGGAATTTGCTTGCGGCCCTCCTGTTACGTCTTGCGACCGTTCACACCTTTAAGACAGCGATGCTTATAGCAAAACTAATAACATGAACTTTTCTCTGCTTTAAACCCGTGAGCAATATGCCGCATCAGTTGGAACATGACATCAGATTTTTGAAGGACTGTCTAGAATGAAAGGGACACTGGAAGTTGATAAGACGGTCACAGTTGGCCTGCCCCGCGGGCCGCGAAAGGAGAACGCAGTAGGTTGTGGAATAAAGGCCAAAACAACAAGTGACTCCTGATCGTCCTTCGTCTTGGGATGTCTAAGGCAGTCGAAAGCGGTTGACGAAAGCCTAGAGAGGCAAGCGATTGGGTTCCTACGACAAAGGAATATAAATATACTCATAACATATACGCGGGACATGGCAGGACGTGTCGATAGGCTGAAAAGGAATGGAAACTGATCAAGACGAGAGGATGGACCTGAGTAAACAAGGTTTCAGCAGGCCAGAGGGCCAACTCATCACCACACAAACTGTCTGAGCCAGAGTAGTAATACCTGCGTAGTTCGTTTGTAGAAACGAGGATCTTGTTTCGGTCGTGTTGCCGGCAACTTCTAGCTGCTGGCGGATGGAACGATGAAATGTGGGCAAATTGAATAAGTTGAACAGACACGTATGAAATATAATATCTATATCGATGTATATATATACATGTATATACATATATACGTATATATGTATATATATGGTGTTATCCGAGGTTTTCTATGCATCTCTGACCCTGAACTGTACGTATGCATGCATAGCAAAACTAATACATTATTATCGTCAGTGCGTCAAACGATTACTCGTAATGGCTACCGACTCTAATGGCTGACGATATTAATTATTTTGGAATTGACATGGAAAATATTCGAGGTGGCCGATTCAATCGATATCTATTTTTAGCGATTACTATGTTTGATGATTCGCACCCTGGGACTTCCGACTCAATTGTCAAGTCAGCGAACCGGTTCAAGATGTCACCCCCTGATCGTTTTGTACAGTGTCCAATAGTCGTAATACCGATCCTGTTCCTATCATAACAGTGCTATCTGCTCATAGAAACCCTGGCGGGAAAAAGATTTATTAACATCTCTGATGAAGTTTTCCTTAGAATTAAAGTTATGATAGTAATATATCTATAATGTGACTATAATTGATTTTGTTCTGGACTTTAAATACGCCACAGTATAAACAGATGCATTTTCGTGGCCTTTTGAGGGAGTTTAAGTGTGACCCAATTCGACGTTAGAGGTAGAAGCATATATTTTAAGAAGTGGTTATAGTATAATCATATAAATAGATGAAGGTACTATAAGCCAACTACCAAATAATAAGCGAAATATCTTAATAATACCGCAGAATTCGGTTAGGTTAATTCAACAGTTATACGTCAACCCTTTGTGGCTCAAGCTAGTTCTGTTCTAGGACTTTTCTTTTTTCGAACAAATGCACTAAAACCGCAATATGTCAGCCTGTAATAAAAGCTTCGTTTTATAGGGTAGGCATAACAGTTGCTTTCATTCTGCTAATTGTATGCCCAGTTAAATCCCATGAGTTTTTGTCTACGGACAAATAATGAGTTTTCCAGTGAGCAGAAAGCACGTTTGTTTGCGCCCCTCTCCGTGCCTCCTGCTACCGCTCCTGGTGCTTCTATAGAAAGGGCTAACGCAACCGGCCGTCTGGCACTTAATACCATAGGTGCTCGTATTCAGCGCCGCCTAGAGTAAAGTTACTTCAGTAGCAGCCGTGATAGTAATAATAGTCACTTGAACAACTTCGAAATAGTTTGCAGCAATACAAAAGCCTTTCTTTGTGGGCATCCAGGTAAGTGGGCTTATTCTGAAAGCTCTAAAAACTATATGTTGGCCATTTAACAAGCGACAACAGATGTTCTTGCTAGCGCACCCGGTGTAGGTCCCGTTATTTTAACTGTGTGTTTAGAAACAATTTCGACTAGGAGCGACTGAAAGGACATCCGGGACAAATGCCTCTGCTATTGCTGGAAACCGGGCTTTTGCTGGAGGAAATGTGGCTGGCGTGCTTTCGATAGAGCTGAAAATATTCTTATATCACTTTTGGGTGGACAGTGCAAAAGGGTAATATTCAGAGTAGCAGCTGGGCGCAAATCTGTGTTAATTTCTACCTAGGGGCAAAGACAGAAGAACTATGCGTAGGGCTTGCTGATTCGTCGGAGTAAAGTTAATCTTTCGAGTTTATATATTCACATTTGGTTCTTTTTGTCTATCTAGAAATAGAGACATGTTGCTCTATTGGTAATCTGTTGCCATGGATCTGTTGGTAAACTGTAGCCATGTCCAATGTGCAATAAAGAAGCCGATTTTTTATTGTCTTTCTTGCTACTCATTTCTGTTTTCATTCTTTCCATTTTTCAGGTGTTTGTTATGCTGAGTTCGGTGTGCGTGTCCCGCATACGTCGGGGTCTGCTTATATGTACAGCTATGTGACTGTGGGCGAATTCGTTGCATTCGTTGTTGGTTGGAATATGATTCTTGAGTACCTGATAGGCTCCGCGGCTGGTGCCTGCGCTATCAGGTATGTGTGCTGGTGCTCGTCGCAAAGGCGTGAGGGGTTCATTTTTAATGTAGATCTCTGGTATCGACATACGCAGGCAAAGCCAGCCAGAAATAGATTCAGATTTATCCATAGATATGTATGCGGTGCAGATGTCTTCAACATTATGTAAATGGACTAACAATCAGTTACGTATCCATACATTAAACACGACGTGAATCCTAACTCGTTTCGTTGCTACAATCGGCACCAACTTCTCGAACGCGAATTTATCACGACACGAGTACGAAAAGGAGGCTCAGCTCCTCTATGCGCATTTACGTATTTTTCGTTCCACCTCTGACGAACTCACAGACGGACGGACGAAGTCTGATTCCTGATTTTGTGCTTTGGAATCTTGTGAAGTGTTATCTCAATGTTTGCTGAATAGATCATATTAACCGAAGGCAGAAAATCGTTTCTAAAAAGGTTCCGCTAAGAGCGATTTGCAGAAAATTTTCCCTGCGTGTTTCGTACTGACGCTGTGGGACCCAGCCCGCTAGTTGACCTTGTGCCGGCGGCTCTTGGAACAGTACAGAGAGTATATCTATATGATTAGGTGCAATAATTTCTTAGAGAAAATCAAATTGTTTTCCTACCAATGGAGCGACGAAGATCACATATTAACAACAACGTATCGTGTATGCAGCGAGGATAGTAGGGCTCTTTCTTATAGAGTCACAGATAAAATAGTGAAGCACTTTCATCCTGTGGTCCTTTTTACAAAGACCAATTTCTTGTGCCTAGGTATGCCTAGGCTAGCGTTATAAAGCCAAGCTCAGTAAAAATTTTCAATGAAGCAAGCCACCACAAAACGTCTCTCGGAACATCCGAGTGTTACCATTTTTATTATAAACGAAAAGAGCGGCGTAACTTTTAGATATCTATTAGCCTCTCTTGGCTTGGATTAGGTTCCATGACAAATGGACGTGTAGTATCCGCCAAGTTACATAACGGTGATAGATAGTTTGCCGAAGCGATCTATGGCATAAACAAGTTGTATATATATATATATATGTAGACAAAAAAGTTACATATATACTCATATATATATATATATATATAGACAAAATGAGTTGTCGATTCCTAATACCTATAAGTACTGTTTAACTAAGCAATTGGATAATATTGTCAATACTATGAAATCAGGAAGTGTCCGCATGTGAAAAGGACTGCAAGAAGTCCGAGTCCTATGCGTATAGGCTTAGGATAAAATATCATATACACACACACATATATATATATATATGTACATACAAGAATATGAGCGACATTTGTAGGATAGCTAAATATAAAGATCAGTTAGCAGAGAGACGAGATTTTTTATAAGAATTGTTTATTATTGTTGTCCGTGTGGTACTGTACGAGATTAAGTTCGGTGTTTACTTATATAACGTACTATTTACCTGAAGTTTTGGGTTAGGATTAGCGGCTAACCGCAAAAAGGTAAGCGGTCAATGGTAGCGCAGTGACGGCTCAATAGCCTAGATTAGAGTACATGAATAAGGATTAGTAAACAATTCAAGGTACGAAATGGCTAAGGCAATGTTAAAAATTGTATTGTTATATCTTCTATAGCGATCATCCCAGCGTAACACATCGGGCTGACGGAATTGTTCAGACAACTAGATCGGGTTTTTTCTAAAAGATACATAACTGTAAAGTGGTAACACGAATTGTAACGGGGCCGCAGGTGGGAAGCTACACTATTTTGCTATTCAACTACCAGCTGACACATCGATGTAATTCTGCTATATCTTCAATCATCGTAAAAATCTCGAAGCAGTATGATTTTTTCAGTTGACGATCCCCAAATGGCCTAATTACACTAACAAGCTTAACTGCATTACTACGAGCCACGCCTAATAATCGAAACATTATTAAACTGCTTTAACAATACAATATATAATCCTTGATCCTGACTTGTTTACATTCGAAAATTCCTGATCCACTGATTCTACTGATATCAAATGGGGTGATTTTTCCTTAGATCAAAAACGACGTATATATATATATATATATATATATATATATAGATATATATATATATAGATAACGTAGAAACGATACTTACATTAACCTTTCTTAGACTAGCAAGTATTTATGCATCTTCATGATTCGACATCTGTATGTACATATCTAGCTCTGGTCAAGTATCTATTGCCATCCTTCATAGTTTCGCCAAAACGTACCACACATCTCGTCCAAAAAATAGGTTGTCCCGTGATGAAACTACTAGTTGGAGATGTTTCCATTAAGTGTGTCTTGAGAGGGTCCAGTAACCGTAACAACACGAAATAGGTAGTAAGCGTCCATGGTAATTGCGTTTGTCGTTAATAATAATATTAACTTATTAAATAAACGCTTTAACACACAACAGTTAGTGTCTAAATGTTAAATACTGTCACACCTTTGTTTGGTGCACGTGCGAGATTCGAATCCAGTGAACATCGAAAGTGAAGACGATTTATGTTCGGCCTTCACAACGTCCTCCAACAAAAGCACGCAGTCGATTCTTACGAATAGGCCAAATGTCTATTGTGATTGGCATAGCATATTATGCAGGTTCGCATATGTAGCCTAGGAACACCTCCATCAAAGATGTACATCTAGATAATTATGATTGTGGACCGGAAATCATCTTTCAAAGGCGCCAGCCGACATTGTTCGAATTTCGTAGCTGGATTCGGTGTAATGCAAAAACAATCGTGGCTGTTTACATGGCACTAACAAAATGTTGCTACTGCGAAAATGCTACAAGCCTTTCGTAACTACATAGTGTGTATAGCTGATCATAGCTAGATAATTTCGAATTTGGGAGAGGGATATTCGAAGGTGAGCATGTTCCGAGGAAAAAGCTGTTCTAGCGTCGACACAGAGGCTGTTTATGGACAAGACATAGACAGCAATTGATTGATTTCATTGAGACCGTTGTTTCGTTGTTCTGTATTTACAGTGCCTGCATCAACGCCATGTTTGACGGGGCCATTCACGACGCTATTCGGAGCACAGTTGGTACTTTTGTTGGTAAGAACATTTCCGCGCCAATCAAAAATAATAGGGGTCTTTAGGCTACCCTTCGATTCCGCTTTGAGTTCAGTATATCTACGTGGGAGTAAAATAGATTAATAATAACCTGATTAAGAGGCTAACCTCCTCCTTTGAAAAGAGGTCCAGTCCTTTACCAACAACCATGTGTGTAGCAAAGTAAAAAAGAACAACCTATACTGAGCCGATACAAGCATATTCCTCATATTTTTAAAGGTTACTATCTTCATATTATTACAACGTAGATGCACAATTCAAAGAAATTCGTAAAGCATGTATTGTGTTGTTTAATAGAAAAAAATAGTAATGTAAATTGTCTTTCTTTCCTAATTGAAGATAAACCTCTTTTTCGCTTTCTTGTTGGTTTGTTCCACAGGCCACACTCCTGACCTTCTAGCGGGCCTGATCACTTTTCTGATGACGGGCCTTCTCGTCGCGGGAGTTAAGAAATCGTTGGCTTTCAACAACATTCTTAATATGGTCAACTTTTTTGTCTGGTGTTTCATTATGCTTGCCTCCCTGTTCTTCATTGATTTCAACAATTGGAGCTCCGACAAAGGTGCGTACAGTCGTAGGTATCGGCAGTTTCCCCCTAGCACGTTGGCTATGAAAAATCAAACATGACGATTAGGCAGGCTTAGGAGCCGCCGAACGTGTTATGTTGTAGACTGGGACGCACTTTTGGCCAAATTCAAGTAATTTATAGTGACTAACCCCTCTTCAAATTGCTGCTTCGAGCCCAGCTGGAGCCGGTTTGAATAGATTAAACAGAGGAAATGCAAAGGTATAACCAGACACTGTAATATAATTAGAGAAAGCTCTCAAATGTTCATATGAACTTGGCTATAGTTATGCTGATAAGATATTCAGCTTTCAATAAGAACAAGCTGAAACAAGTGGCATGCCAATATTTCCTATCGAACATAAATGTCAATAGATATCAGCCATTTGTTTTGATGGTGAGCTTACGACTTAATACAAAATTGTGTCACACAATCCTATTTAACATTATGCCTAATGATAGTGTATTTTCTTAAATCGCGATTAACGAAACGTTGACCACATTATGTATGTTTGTTTTTTTTTTTCATCTTTCTTTTCAATTGTCGCTTGTATGCTTCCCTTGAAAATTGGATCGATGGACGGATGTACCTATCAAGGCAAGAACGAAGCACATGACAGGTGCATTGTTCCTAGACCGAGTCAAATTCCAATCTACTATTATTATTTAACCAGTAATGACGGCCTAACTACATATTTCCTATACATTTTTGCGATGTTCTGTTAACGAAATTCTCGAGAGCCCTCTTACTGTTACAACAGCTGAAATGCTACAGCGCAAAGAAAGCTACTGCAAACTAGTCCAATGCCGATTCGATGAAATCTGTTTAAGGCTAAATTGGGCGAGGAGGCCTTGGAGGCTTCAAAACGTCTGCAGGCTCACTTGAATTGTTTGCGTCGAAACATGTTTTCACCGACCCGCTTTACACTGACACAGAACGGACAAGAAAGTAGTTAACTAGATGGTCGCAAGAAGCCGTACCATAATGAACGTTTATGCTGGAACCGGTTCCAACGCAACTGCGCCTGCAGTTAGAAATGGATTTACAGCTGCGACCCCTCAGCGCCGAAAACAACAATTGCAAAACGTCGTGAAAATCTAGTTGAACCAAGTGCTCGAGTGCAAAGTACGCCGAAAAGTAATACGGGGTATACGCCTGTATTGCATCTCAGCGGATTCACGAATGAAACAGGATACCAAATAAAACTTATAAAAAATGATAGCAGTATTCTGTTTCAGGAAAAACACACACACACACACACTAATTACATTTTTACCTAATGTGATTCTAAAAAAATGGTTTGATCGAGTTTTGCATAGGACTCTGATTTTCCAGTTCCGTTAGAAAACAAATGCACCATGTCGGTAGACTATAGAGAAGCGGCGAGCTCCCTTTGAATGGAACAGCAGTACTATTAACGGCATTTTTTGTCCTATAGTTTTTTGCGTTTCTGTGTGTTTCCTAGGGAGTAAATATTTCTTCATCTAGTACTAATAATAACTCTGAGAGAAGTAACTGGCTACAATGATAACGCAGACAGCCAATAGAAACGCTAAAATACAAGAGGTCCAGAACTGTGGTTGTTGCTAATATTCTTTTTTTTTTTTTTGATCCAAATCGTCTTATTATTACAAACGATTCCCACAAACGACGCATTGCTTAATAGGTTTAGCGAGATGAAATGGCTTAGGTTTGAAAGCGAGCGCAGAAAGGCTTTGTTCTTAGAGACAGACCGTCGTCTGAAGCAGTGTTCAGCTAAGGCAGTACCCGACGTAAGGGTTCTTTGTTTGAGATACGTATTTTCAGGTAAGCTGTGCACAGACGTTACAACTGTACAGTATTGTCGAAGATGTAAAAGAGAATTATGTGCATATTGAATTCCAATTTTTTTTTTAGGAAAATAGATTTAAGAAAAAGCAGCATATAGTCCGATGTCAACTACTATAGGAAATTTATGTTGTTGAAGCAGATATTCTAAGACGAAAAATTTCGCTATACAATGGAGAGGTCTGTCTTCCTAGTGCACCTATAATCAGTTCCTAACCAAGGTTCGCGGACAGGGAGCTTTTGATTTCGTAAGTAAGTGTTTTGCACTACCGGACGAATACTTTAGCTAGTCGGCACAGCTCATTAGCCTTTGAACTCCTCAGAAATAAAGTCCAATTAGGAATAAGATACCCTACCATTCGATTAATTAATGCTCCACTAGCGATGTCTCCTACACGGCTCACGAGTGGGGATTTTTGCCCCCGACTACTAGCCAACTATATGGTGAACAAAATGATGTAAAAACATAGTTATCGTAAATTGTGTCATACTGTTTTTTACTCCCTTTTCCGCAATGGTTACCCTTAGAAAAATCTTAGAAATCTTTTAATACTGGGTAGAATTGCTTTAGTGGGTTATCAGTTTTTTTTTTTTTAGTTGAGCAAAGTATTGGGGCTTGGAGGGTTTTAATAAACCAAGTAAGGCTACATTAATTGGACCTGTGCTTCTTGTTATAGCAGTGAAAAGTTCTGAAATCCCTTTTTACAAAACGAACTCTATCTGCTTCTGTCCGTTGAGACAGCAACGCGGTTCAAAGGATTCAGGGTTTGAGGACAAAGTTTAGTGTTGCACTTGAGGGGATTACTGCTGTTGAAAAGGTCAAACGGTATACAACAGTGGTCACACGCTATAGGCAAGCTTCATGCTGAACGGTATTCGATGCTTTCAAGACAGAAACGCTTCAGTTTCCTAGCCTATTGTTTTGTGTAAAAGTGTGACGGTGAAACACGAACAGAACTTCACCTACGACCCATATGTACATTCGGCTATGTAATTTACAATGCCGGCCTCTTTTACCAACTCAATGCCCAAATATCACAAACCTGTAAAATTTAAAGGTGGAAAAAATCGGTTAGAACAGTTACATAGTTAACTTGTCCTATACAGAGTCACGTAAACAGTTTCCTATGTGAGCTGGGTCAGGGAAACGTATTTGCCTGTTTATCTTAGGGACACCTTGTGGTCTAGGTTCGAACCTGAGCACGAACAGACGTCGTTTCCTGCTGAAAGCGAGCCGCCCGATGAAACGCCTAATGACGACACTGGACATAAAACTTGAAACATAGAAGTTGACTTGATCAAAATTGGGTCATGCCTGATTTTGCCAAACAAAGCACGTGCGTTACCAGTAACCGACAGATAATTAAAAGGGTTGTTAGCTCGAACCTAAGTCATAATAGATGCTAGACGGAATAACTGCTGCATTCATTCGTATTCTCTCCTTTGACGAACACTTTCTTTTTACTGAGAAGACGGTCTTGCTATAGCCGACCCCAGTATGTGTAATGTACTCCCGATGTATTTGAGCGCCTCTCTCGGATGCCTATTCAAGAACATGTCAGAGAAATCTAATGACGGACATAATTTTTTTTTGTTTTCTATTTTATTTTTAAGACGAGCAAAGTTGTAGTTTCAATGCGTCTCTCAGCTGGACAACTACGATCAGCTACACACAGGTGTTTGGCCATTGTAAAAAACACAGTTTTCTTAAAAGCTAAGGGAAATTTACAACAATTTGCTTCCCGTTATGGATTTATAACAAAACAGACAAATACAATAATGTGAATTTTCAGTGGACTATCGCTATAGTATAGAATAACGAGGCTTCATCCTAAATAGCTAGATGTTCAGAATCGTCGGGGAACTCAAGCAAAATACCGATTTTGTGGAGTTATTGGCTAATACAATGTATGAAATGCTTGGCTTAGCGAGATCAGAAACTATGTCTTGACAAACTATCATTAGTTATATATATTAATTAAGTCAATTATACATCGAATATTGACATTGTTAATTTATGCGGTGTTGATTTTTTTTGTCCATATATTTTCTTTCATTTAAATTTTTTCTTAAAAGATGTCAAGGCAGCTTCGACGGGTTACTATAATTCTGATGAAAAAACATTAGATTTCCGATTGACACAGAGGAGTTCGCCAGTAGAATTAGGAACTTTATTATAGAGGTCGCACAACCTCTGAACTCATTGTTGTTATAAGACTATTTATCATGCATTTAGTAAAAAGGCACTTTCCGTTTGCCTTAATAGTTCCTCTGTTTGTGTTTTACGTGTTTGTGAATGCTCTTCGTTTCAACAGGAGGTTTTCTGCCATATGGTTGGTCAGGAGTGCTTTCAGGAGCGGCGACGTGTTTTTACGCGTTTATTGGATTCGATATTATTGCCACAACAGGTGAAGAAGCCAAAAATCCTACCAAAGATATACCTAAGGGTGAGTTCTATGTATTGAAATTAGGTTCAAAATGGAAATCCAACATCACGACTAACCTCATTTTTAAGCATGAGTGTGAAAAAGGGACCTTCAATTGACAGCGTCAGGTTGATTAGGAACATGATAGGTTTACCATGTTGCAATACGTACTTGGAGTTAAAGACAGGGTGCTGAAACCATTGAACTATGTGACCTTAACTCCCATGCTACACGCCTTATGCATACCTATACATGTACGTATTTATGAGAGTTTTATTTTCGCCTCGCAAAAGATCCGTCCAAAAGGGTCTTCGTCCTGTTATGGAAAAATTATTGTTATTACGGTACTGTCATCGCTCAAACTTATCTAATCGCCCATATTCCGCGCCATGGAATACACTGAGCTGTGCACTTTTTTTCTTCTTAATTTTTCATTATATCTGTCACACTTTCCGAGCTGTCTTTATGCAGGGTTTTCTCATATTGTTTATACAGCTTGTCTGAATTTTATGCGCTGAAATTTTTTTACCCACCCTAAAACCATTACGGCGTAAACGATGCAAGTAATAGTACTAGTAACAGAAAGGTTATCGTTTCCGTTATACAGAGCACCGCGTTCCGCTTGTCTAGTGCCGACTTTATTAAGCGAATAGTGGTAAGATGGAAATCTTATCTTGGTGTAACCCATAGTTCCAAGCCAAGATACTCTATCTGGTCGTGTGCCAAATGATGCGCTACATATCTTTTTAACAAAAGACTCCTCACAGCTTCTAATGCTGTGGTCTTTATACATCATCCGTCATCCCTATGGACCTCTCTAAGCAAACCAGCGCATAATGACACATTCAATACACTAAATACTTTATAGAGGTCAACTGGGCTGGGGGGCATTAAATCTAGACGAGACGAGAAGATAAGCAGCTAGTGCCGATTATGTTGAAACCATAGATGACTAGGATTACTTTCTATTTACAGTCATATTGATAGGTGCCGGCCTGCAAGAACCGAGCTGCCGATATTTTCTTCACATCGGCTTGAGAGCCCTTTTGAGCGCTTGTGACTTGAATATTAGTAAATACCTATCATATATAACACATTGTAGCTAGCTTAGGGCTAGTCTAGGCTAGCTAAGTTACAGTTGTTAGGTTCAATGGCAAACTCAGTAAAAGAAATGATCGCAGTTGTGTTGTATCTTCCCTAGCTATTCATAGATATATATATATATATATATATATATATATATATATATAGGTGAATTAGGCATGACGACGCCTTTAGCTGAGGATAGAAATCAGGGATTTTTACTGATAGGCGAAAATCATAATGACGTATTAAGTGACGTCGCAGAAAAGGTTTGCGTTACATATTTTGTCTGTTGTTCTACTTTAGCTATTACGTGGAGCCTTGCGACAGTCCTCACGGCATATCTCACGTGCAGCATCGTGGTAAGTGGATACTTAACTAATTAGAAATTTTAAGAGGTAAGAAGGTAAGAAATTTTACCAAAGATAGCTTACATTATACTATCCTTTTCTCTAGTTCTAAAGCAGCAAAATTTTTATCCATGAATGGATGAACTATAAATGATGATTTTCGACATTGACGGTTACTATCAAAATAAGTACACGGAACATTAAAGACCCGCCGCAGTATTGACGTACGGGGTAAATGTACCGTTTTTATTGTGATATGCCATAACTTATCGCTCGTTTTCGTGATTAAGCTTTTGCCTTTCTAGCTCTATGAAATTTTCGTGAATTTTCGTGTCCGTTTGTCTCAAAGCATCCTCAGAGTACAAGAAAGTTCTGCAGAGATTACGGCCGAATCCAAAAATGAATCGCGTCCGTCCAGTTGTATAATATAGCTTAACTAAAGTCAACGTTCGCTGCAATAAAGAGAACTATGGCCTATGTATTCTATGCGAAACAGACGTTAGCATATAGATTATTTGAACGCATCAGATCTATTCAACCGGCAAATTTTTATGTCCTTATAAACCGCGGTGGTTTTTCCAGGTACACATTGTTAACCTTAGGGTCGAGTGAGATCGCAAAACACCACAAATGACCTATGAACTATCTGCTATAGCGGCCGAAGCTATAAAGTTACGGATCTTTTCTGTGATTTTCTTTATAATTTTATTCCTTTGGTTAATGCTATCATCGTAAAACCGAATGCTTTGTTATTAAGATTGTGCTCCGCGCTACGAGTGCTTGTTCGTAAATAGCTTGTCAAGATACACAAACGATATAGTTTTTGGAGTGTTTTTTGTACTTTCAGGTAACTTTGGTCATACCGTACAACGAAATCAATTCTGCATCTGGACTCGTAGAAATGTTTGCCCAGAGGGACGCACCAGGCTGTCAGGTACCACCTACTACTCAAAAGTATTCGAAATCTATACAAAATACTGCTGATGGTACAAGTTACACAAAGTTAATGAGTGGCGAACAAATACTAGCGCGCGATAAGTGAGTCAAACTCAGCTACGGCGAAGAAGGAAGAGTCCGTATTCATCGCGTGCTGTTCACTTACGTGCGCTTTTAGACGAAAGTTACTTTATGTCGCACATAAAATCTATACAAATGTAAACATCGTAGCAAACAGTTAAGCAGCAAATTGACTACGACCAAATCAAAATCGTCCGCTACGCCACGACATAAAACGAGTAATAACTTCTATTTTTCGATCTTTATTTTATCTGTTAGTGACAAAGCACGTACATTTAGCTATAGCTTATATGGCAGCATAATTGATGACGCTCATTAATATTTTAGTACATTGTCGCCATCGGCGCCTTGGCGGGCCTTGTGGTGTCGATGTTTGGCTCCATGTTCCCGATGCCTCGGGTCGTATATGCAATGGCTAAAGACGGACTCATATTCAGGTATAATAATCTTGATACTTTTTAGCCGTAGGAGAGCGATCTCATGGTTTCTTACGAGGTCAGCCGTGTAAAAAGCGCTACGAAACTTCCGTACTACTAGATAAAATGGAAATACCCATAAATAATCTGCTAATCTCAGCTTATTGTTGCTTCGAAATCTAGACATGACTGAAGTGTTGTACAATTAGAAATATTCGATCGATTTTAGAATATTTTTTTAAGGTGGCTTCTGATAAATACGGGATTCAGGAATCGGCTAAAACATCTAGGTAGATTCATAATCCAAACTCTTAATAGCTATAGTTTATCTCTCCAAAGAAAACCTTATGTTGCATTGGGTCGACGATACGTTATTGTTTCTATTGCAGAGCTCTCGCGAAGATATGGCCAGTTACAGAAACCCCAGCTACTGCTACTCTTTTTCTAGGTGCAGCTACAGCAGTTGTCGCCATGGTCATGGGGCTGGATGTTCTTGTAGAAATGATGTCGATCGGTATGAGATAAAGAAATCACCTCTATTTATGGTGATTCGGTTTATTAAGCTCGTTGCGTTTTTATTTACACGTGAGCAAATTTTTATTGGCTTAGGTACAAGGCTGGGCCTAGACACACTTTATTTCGTTCTAAAGGCCAGTTGTCGGATGCCAGTATCTAACAGAAAACGCGCAGAAACGTACCTGTTGTTCTACCCTGATTTGTCTTAGTACTATAGGTTTCGCAAAAACCTCTTGTGCGCTCGTTTTGCAAATGATGTAGCTGCAAAAAATCGATTAAATATATCGAAACTATTTTTTTGACGCTTCGACTCCGTTCTATATACATGTATTCGAACCTATTTCTATTGAGAATTATCTCTCAGGCGACATCAATCATTAAACCGGTGGGATTCTCATCCAATTGGGCTCGTTCACCCCTGGCCTAACCTATCATCTGATTGTGTTATGATTATTGCCATATGTATAGGCACATTAATGGCGTACACGTTAGTATCCACGTGCGTCCTGCTCCTCCGCTACCAGCCCGGAAACAAAACTGTAGTCGACCTTCTACCGGAATCAGTGCGGTCTGCCTGTCCCACGCCTACAAGAGATTATCCCAAGGTGAAAACCTTGAAAGCGCTACATTTAGGTCCTATCAGCATAGTAGATAATGACTGTATAAGTGTTTGGCTCGAGAAAGGTCTTATTGCGAAAAAGTAACGGCAAATTCAGATATATTTATAGTGTCACGGTACGAAATCATTTTCCCATAAGCGTTTTAGTATAATGCATAATGTTCGGACTGCAAACAGATCTGCGTAGAATTGTTCCGCTTAGATTCGCTTGAATACTCTCCGATAATGATTCCCAGAAAGTGATTATTAAAGTTACGAAGAATACAGCCCTCACCTTTTATACTACTAACTTGTAGATCTGTTCAGCGCTCGTTCAGCGCTAATTCTAGACATCACAACTCTTAAGTATTAGATTGAAACGTAGGTAGTTTTCGGCTTTTCATCTAACGAGAAATGCAGTATGCTATCTGGTTCTTTCTGTTGGATACCCTCGTTCATTTGATGTAGGTAGACCACATGCGACTCCTTGTTGGCCGACTTGTTCTTCACAAGCATTCTTCAGTGTATCAGACCTTTTCAGCTCCACCAAACGTCAAGCTCTAATTAGAATGGAGATCTAACGTAACTTTTGGGTTGGGAGTGTCATTCTTTTTCCCACTTCATTTCGACGTTAAGAGACCACTTTTCGTCACCGGTGCCGACTCGTATGTGCGTATCCGTCACTGAAGCGTATTGTCTGGTGCGGGGCAAAACGTTAAGGAATACGGATGCGAAGCTTTGTTTCCTTGTGCTTTCTGCCCAGTCCATAACACGCTGAGGCATTTATATTTACATAAAGTTATGCACCTAAAATGGTCATTAATATCCCGGTGTTCGTAACCTATCCTCTCTTCCATCCAACGATTTGTTCGCCATCCGGAGTCCTCATCGATTTCGGATCGACTGGGTCTGTGGCTGCATCTTTCAAGGAAGCTCCTTCTCGCAAACTACTTAGTTGTAGAGTCTTTATTGTACTTGACACAAACATGGTGCAAAGCAAAATATATAGGGTGTGTCGAAAATGCACTTCTTTACCGGGAACTTCGATAGAAGGTTTCCATTGCTAAGCAAGGAAATTACAGAGGAAAGATAAATCGTATCGTTGAACGGTATAACGAAGTAAAGAGAGAACTAACCGAAATAGTTTATGTTCCATTCTAATAGCAGTAATAATAATAATAGAACAACTGTAATAATGATATAATAATAATAATAATAATAGTAATAAATAAATAATCCGAATTGAATTTGTCGAATAACTTGTTTCCCGCTGTTTATATTAACCGACGCGCCAATTCTCATCCAGCCGGGTGGTGAGCCAATGAGTGCAAATCCGTTTATTAACAACACAGTTGTGGTCACATCGAAACGTTCCAACCGCGTTCTCACTCCAGACTCAGACGATGAAGAAATGGGCTTTACTGGTCTCGGAGTTGTAGGACACCACCGATTCCCAGGTTTGTAGATTCGTAGATATAGTCGGACTATTATTAGAATAGCTCACTTTGTTTCTTCGAAAAATGCAACGGCTTCTTTTTTGCAAGACAGTTGATTTACCTATGTCTCTATGTTATCGCACTCTCCGCACCTTTACTTAGCACTCTAATGATGTAGTACTTTTTATCACAGCTGTTGTAACGGGTTGTAAACGAGGATTTAATCCCAGACATTGCAGGGCGTTCTAAACTATGCTCGATATGCTGGCAGTATATAGAGCTAGAGATCCTCTATTAATTGTTTAGATCAAGCGCTAGCATCTATCGTAAATGTTTTCTACGTGGATGACGCTTGCCGTTGACGCCGTACCATCTGCAAAATATTCTAGGTGTCACGGCTCAGTGGAAAAACCGGCAAGATATGTACGGTTCAATGCAGGAGGAGTCACTTGAGGAAGAGGAAGATCTGTTTCAACAGGTACATATTCCATACGCGAAGCTATGCTAGCCATATCTTCTTGATCGACTTGTTTATTTTCATTGTTTCTGAAACACTGGTACTAACCCGATGATGGTCGGGAAGGCAAAATCGCAAACGATAAGGAACACATGTAACTGTATTCATGCTAAAGAACAAAAAATCATTATTAATCGCAAAGTCCAATAAAATTCTTACTTTTTGTACCCATAGCGATATATTGGCGGCTAGTACAATTGACAATCAAGACAAATTTATATACATCTTAATTTATACGTATGTATCCTCACAGCCTTCGTACTGGGACTTAAAGCGCCGTCAGATCGGGTACATGTTTCCGTTTCTGACACAGAATCCTGGCCCCGCAAATGACGCGACGGCAACGCGAGTCATCCGTCTGACCTGCTGTTTGTATGGGTTTTCTTTATTATTCGACCTTGTTGTTGTGTGGGGCCAAGACGCGCTAGGGACTGGTTCCTTCGCGGTGGCCTTACTCAGGTAAATTAGGAGTTGCATACTAACTAACTCCGCTGACACTGTTTCTATAGAAGAATACTCTTAGTCAACCGTAACGTTATCAAAGGCGTCACTGAAACCTTGGTTTTTGGAGAAATCGACTAAACACGCCAGATTACCACGTTATGACTTCCTTCTCCGATATACCCAGATCATTTGAGTTTTCCCACGATTCAAACAGGTGTAAAATTTCCTTATCATCAAATGAACTCATTAAAAGATTATAGATCCTGAAAAAGTAAGAACCATTTTCGTTGTTGTCTTATATTTGTAGCGTCGCGTGCCTTATCGGAATCGTCGTGTCCGTGTTCCTCATCGGCAAACAACCGCAGGCCAAGTATGTGTAGATATAAATCTTCCATCATTGTGTCAGTGGAGAAGTAACACATTTGTGTATTCAGCTCAGTAGACACGTAACGGCTTAAGTTCGAAACCAGACATAGTCATCCCTTATTTCGTCCAGGAAACCAACCGGCTTGACCGATAGCAGCGCCGAACGTACAACTTGAAACATTTATTTAGATATTTTGCTTTTCCCGTTGGCCATGTTTAGTGAGCATAAATCGCAATGAGATGACCATTTTGCAGATTCTCTGTATCGAACATTTTTGTTTGCGAAACTTCAGATGCGATTTGAAGTTTGCTGCGCCGGCGGTGCCGATTGTACCCTCGATCGCGATTACAGTCAACATCTACCTCATACTCAAATTGTCCTACCTCACGCTAATACGATTCGTCGTCTGGATGACGCTAGGTGAGGTACCGAGAGCTAGATTTATAGTGTGTGCTTAAGGAATCGTCAACAAGCGAGAAAACTGATCTTATTATTTTAACCGTTTTTCAACGGTGTTCAATTATTATTATTCGTTAGAAGAAATGGGTGGTAACGAACAAACAGAAGATTATCTTTTCAACATCAGCCGATAGCGTTGTTACGCTTATCCGAGAAAATACTGTTGCAACCTCTGCCGATGTCATATTAAAAATAGGCTTGCATTCCCAATACATTGAAATACGTTTACGAAGCATAATTTAGTAGCCAAGTAACCCGACTTAGAATAACAACATGCCGCGTCTTACTCTTGTAAGATCTTCAGGAATAGGCTTTAGCATCACAAACAAATGTTACAAGCACGAGCCCAGCCGCAAGCGTTTGAAACAGAAGCAGTTTTCTGTTAATGTATTCCATCCCATGTACGCATCAATCACCCATCAATCAGATCGATCACTTATATATACTAATAAAACCCATCTGGGTGCTTCGTTATCTTTGCGCAGGTATGTTTATGTATTTTTGCCATGGCATTAAGGAGAGCAATCTCGAAGGAGCCAGCGAAGAACGCATCGAACTCAAGGTGCCAAGCAACCAGGCATCGGCTGCAAAGGACAAAGAAGACAGCACACAAAAGCATAATCCCCTCAAGTTAGCGGCACCCCCGCCGAAACTACCACCACGGCCCGTACACCGCGGCGAACCTGTTATGAACCCGCTAACGAATCCCTTCCTTAACATGGGCAACGCTAACACCAAGATCATGCAAGAGACCGAAGCAAGCGTCAATGCCAATGGAAACGGAAGCGTTGTCACAACGACGAAAGCCCTACCGCCTGCGCGCACAGCCTGGGCCACTTTCGACTGAGATTCACAGCTGCTTGTTCTATAGCACTGCACGTTAAGCAGCACGCACCACGCATCAGTATTCGAGATTACTTCATTGAGCCGAAATACGGTTAGTTATGATTGTGTCGAACACGCCGCGACAACATACAGATGTTGTCCTGAGTTCCTTTCAACAAAAAGGAGAAGGGCAAGTCGTAGAGTTTCTGAAGAGCAGCTGAAGTCGAGTCGGCAATTCCCACACTGTGCAATAGGTTCGAATAACAAGCGCTTGCTCGTCCTTAATAAGACTGCTGTTTACATTCGATTAGTTGAGTAGCAGAAAATGGACATGACGAAGCAGGAGCGTGTCTGTGAGAGGCACACACGTTACGCAAATGCTGACGGTGATGACCATGCTGGTGATGGAGAAGGCCACGGGGGAAGCTACAATAGTCTACAACGCGCAAACACAGATACATTACGTATACAGCGATTACGGTGATCGCAACAACAACAACTAAACGCTTGATCTCTTCTAGCCAATAGGGACAGGGCTAAGAAACTTCGAAGCGCTCTCACGAAAAACTTTTTGATAGGGCGTTTTCAAACGCGACGACTAAATAATCACACGCTAGACGAGACGAGATTCATCGGCTCTGACCTGCATAAGGTTGTTGTCTAGATAAAAGCGAGTTGTTTATCTAGCAACAAGGCCCTCGGCTAGCCCAGTCCCGTGTTAATGTACGACGGCTGAAGCTCTGTGGTGTGGCCATAAGCAACGCTGGCCAACGACGCATCTTTTTCAAATGGAGGCGCGTCTTTGAATGGCCGTTAACCATTACTGACTGTAATAATAACGGTGGCACAATAATAATGAGATATGTGTTAGTAGTTGATTGCGTGGAAGAGTATATAGCAGTAAATGTTATCAAATGAAATGGACGACTGATACCGAATGGATAATACAGTGTGAGATAAACATGAACTAATAATAACAATAGTGACATATTATCGTTATTATTTTTGTTCTATATACTATGTGTGACGTTTAGCTAACCAAAATATATCGTCTCTACTGGTATAGGTAGCTGGATCAATACACAATATATAAATGAAGAACTACAATTGCTACTAAGAGATGTACCAGCACATCGCAACATGGAGATATGAGCGACCCTTTTCCGCTTCCCACACTCACGTCGAGTAATAAGGACGAACCTTCCACATTGTACAGAAACAAGCTGATCAACACTCAGCAATATAAGAAGAAACAGGACAGCCAATAATAACGAAAGAGAAACGATGAAAAATCACGCGGTAGTACTGAAACGGGACAATGTGGCGTCATCACGATCAGTTCTCATGGTATGCGTATGCCATACATGTGCATATATATATATATATATATGAGAATTACCAATGAAATATAGTATGGAATGAGCTAATACAGTGGCTGCGAACAGGAAACTACTACAGAACGAAGCATTCTATATATACGGTGGCACATTTAAATTGGGCAAAAGTTTTAACGATCTGTATGCCACAACGGGCATGTGTTTATCCGTTATTCGTCACAACCAATTGCCTTTTAAAAACAACAGACTTTTTCGGAGCAAAAATTAGCTGCTGTCCAATTTTCCCGCACCGAACATTTCTGCCGTGTTTTTTCGTCTGAAATCGACAGTTGATATTAACCGTTTTCATGCGATTTCTACAAAATTCGAGCAAGGCTTATCGGAGGATACTCAACAGGGTTTAAGTTAAAACTTCATGAAATTGTTCAAAACGTTATTTTTGATAACCTTTTGATATCGAAATTAACGGTCACTCTAGAGAGAGAAATATTAACGATCAATCAGGTCGCCCAGTGGTTACTTTTCGACCTTTTTTTACACTTTTCAAAAAGTGTTTGTCCCCACTTTGAACTTTTGTGTTACATAACATTTTCGGACAGCTGTCAACCGTGAAGCTGAAATGAACGTTTTGGAGCAATATTTTTACGGTTGTTTTACAACTACAGATATCTATTGACGTACGGTTACGAAGGAATATTTTTAAAATGGCTAGATGTAGAATTGAAGCTGTAATCCGGTGGATAATAATTGTGTTAAGTATAACCGTCAGAAACGAATTTTGTACGTAGTACATTCCAAAAAAACGAATGTTTGGCACAGCTTTGTAAATCGACTTAGACGAGTCGATATATTGTGATCTAGAGGGATTAATAGCGACAAGGAACGAGATTACAGGTCTGAAGGCAAAATTGATCATATCGTGTGAATCAAGTGGTAACCGGAATAAAACTAATGGAGGGGCAACCAGTGCACTAAATTGTCGCCCGGTCACCCCTCCATAGTGAGCTTTCAGAAAGGATTAGTGCAGCATATGTTCATACGTATTAAAGAAAATCGGCAAAAGATAACATCTAGCAATGTACGTGCTTTCCAGTGGCCTCGCTATTGATAGATATCTCAAAATTCATATCTCAAAAAAGCTAGACTTATTCCTTTTAGAAGATTTTTTTTCACAGTGAATTATTATATTTTGTCTCTGCATGCTAGCTTGCAGCCGACCTGCAAACGACCCCGGAAACGTACTGTTTTGAACGTGTATAGCTTTACGCGTAATCTGTGTTCAGTTTTAGTAAAAAATAAAATAAAAAACAGCCAATTTCATGTTAAAAATCAGTATTCAGCTGAGAATTAGCCAGCGTATCTATGGACCCCTAATATTCTATTTAGCTCAGAAGCGCCCGCCCGGAGTTTACACAATGCACGGCTTTCGGCGAACCCTATATGTAACCTATATACTACAGATCTTCAACGATAAAGCGAATCTTCTCAGTAAAATATGCCATATAGTAATTATCCGTCTAGGGACCTGGAAACGGTGTTGTCAAATATTGTAATTTATACCGCTCAAGGTAGATCAGTGAACGTTTAAGAAAGACATGGAATACACGAGAAGGGTGTAACCTGTAGCACACAATATAACGAATACTTAACCGTCAATAGTGAAATGAAAAAAATGAAATGACATTAAAGAAAAGTCCCTGAGTAACCAAACAGGTCGCTATCGTAAGGCCTGCGGGAACCCCCCAGAGCAGCTGTGCTGCACAAAACTTTTCCCTAATGTCGCTAAGCGTGGCGTAGTCTAATGACATTAACATCGAAAGCACTGTCGGTTTGTTTGGGTACATTTATGATGGCTTTGTACATCGCATTTATGCTGTATATAGTACTGTATTAAATAATAAACGACCGTTGGACCATCCATAATGATCTATAAGTCCTGTACCCCTTTGAACATATCCGATACAGAAAGTGGGGTCAAAGAAAGGAGGTACAAGACGTTACGTTGCTATGCGATTGCATTCAACGACAGATCACTTATTCGCGTAATATCTGAAGGCACCCGAAAAGCATCGGTTTATAAGAATTGCTTGACCGATTTCGTTTTGATCGCAGCTTTCAACATGAGTAGTGAAAAAGATTTCAGATACGTTATCCCTGCTATTACACGTCATTAGATCCTGATGGAAGCAGTGGCAGCTATCACTGAACATTTGACTGCAAGCTAGACTGTACGTAGCTTCTGTCACAAAACTTCATTCTGCATACTGGCGGGTATTCTTAACATCACGGTTGATTCAATGCATTAACTTTGCTTCGTACTCAGAACCTCTGCAATTCTCGTACATCTCGTGGTTTACCCTTGTAAGCCGACGGGAAACATATCTGTAATCTGAGGGAACTTACGTCTTACGTATTGCACTTACGTTCGGTACGTCTACGACTTACATTCATGCCAAACGATCCAAGTAGTCGCTCAGTCTTGACATTTGGATCGGTTGGAAGCGCCTACTACGCAATGTCATTGCTTATTTCTGTAATGACTCATACGTGAACCAATCCGATTTTTTCATAACAGCATCGTTTTTACGGCAGTGCCTATTTCTGCAAACAGAAGTGACAGCGCAGCTTTTTAACCCGTTGAATAGCGGTTCTCTGGGGTGTTTTTACGACGAAAATTCGGCAACGTGTTCGATTCTGAATCAAAGAAAACGTTCGAAGCTGAGTAAGTGCCCAGAAACGCTTATGACTCACGTCCCCCATAAAGCCCCTGGCTTAGATTAACAAATAGATACTTGAAATGTTTACTCTTCTACATCTCTGAACCGCTATAACAAACTTTTTTTTGTAATCCTCTGAAACTTCTGTCGATGGAAAGGGATGCACCTCGAAGCGTTGTGATAACATATTGAATAGAAGGAGATCGATGATTATGCTGCTGATGATGAGCAAAATAAGGGGTGAAGATGACTCTATGAGTATATACATACCTTGACACGTTACCCTCTCATCTTTGCTAATTAAAAATTTAAGAGCATAATGAGTATATGACAATACATGTGTCTCTCAGTTGAGTATCCTAACTCGTAATGATAGTGAAGCCGGGCTTAAAGGCTCTAGCATGTACACAAACGAGGAAACTCCGATTTAATCATCAGTCGACTGAGTAACTAATCACCCATCAAGCCAAAAAACTTGCCACCATTTTTGCAATACCTATGTGTTTTCGAGTGAAAACATCCGTTCGTTATCTTTCTATCTCTGACTCTGCGAGACACCATCAGCAGATCGACTTGTCCGATGTCCGAATGTCAAATGTGCGACACAGCAAAACTGCGAGCAAATGAGTGCTTGCTGATAAAGACAGTAGAAGTAAAAAATTGTTAAGAGCGACAGAGACGAGGAGGTAGAACAGGTGAGGGAGGGAAACGGGGGATGCTGGGAGGTCAGAAAGCAACCGATTGAAAGAGATGCATAGATAGAAAAGTGTAGAAGCGTATCATCGAACTATGGTGCCTAAGAGGCTCAACTATAAAAATCTCAATTGAACCACGAGGCATGTTTCATTCCATCGATTTATCCTGTAATTATCTGCCGCACAATTACCCTTCCTCTCATGGATGTTCCCCCTTAATAATGATACACCATTCTCTTACCATAACGTAGAAGTGTAACAAAGACAATATAATTTGTTAACCTTCTAGTTCTGCACGTAGCCACGTTCGTGCCGCAATCGTTCACGACATACGATATCTAACAGGCAGTGGTCGAAATAGCACCGAAGCCGCCCTTCATTTCCGATCAAATAAGATCCGGTGAGTAGATAAGAGGAGTTATTATTAGACTGCGAATCACGTACTTGTAGAATGACTTCCACCCTTTTTAGGGACGCCGAGTAGTACGTTACACAATTCACATATCTAAGGGCCTGCATCCACCAGTTGTACGATGGAAATACATATATAAGCACGCATTGACTACCACTATATAGAAGTTGGAATCGGACGGACATCCTTAGAGCAAAGAGGGAGTGTCCTACATCGAGCTGCCCTTGGAGAAACCCCACTAAATTTACATAGCCATTTTCTCGGAATTCAGACTGATTCGCTTAGAGCTTTATACCTAGGAATACACCATCATCCCTTATCGCCTTTTGCTGATGTGCAAAGAAGGCCTGATCTATGAAGGAAAATGCTTAGAGCTACAGGAATGATCATCTTCGAAAATGAACGAACTTATTATAACGATGCCTGTATTAAAATGGTACTATTGATACCTTTGATGGCAGCGATGAAACTAGTGCGCGTAACATAATTATAGCGGTGATAGTCGTGTTAAACATGGTGATTATAACTGAAGACTAATAATATAAAGGAATTATATATATAAAAAAATATAAAGGAAGAATGCTGACAGAATAATATTAATTATAGAAACATTACTAATATTGTTCAATTGGAGTATATATATATAACCAGTAGAGCCGAAACAAAAAACATTAATGAAGCTATACTCTATATACACATCTCATTAATATCTATATATAAATAATATATAGAAATATGTATAATATACACTATGACTCAATCGACGAATACCATTTATTATAATGTCTGTGATATGTAACGAATCATTTGAGTCCAATCATGATTACCGCTGTTACTGGTTCTGTCTGAGTGAGTTCTTCAGTTTACCTCAATTTATTGTACAATTACTGACGAATAGAAGACATATAAACATAAACTGGTAAAAACCTATATGCTTTCAATATGGCGATTTGTAGCATTATATAACATATCGATTCTCTTCTCATGAACAACAATAACGCGTCAGCTTTTCTATTCTACATATTATATAATACTAATACTAAAGTCAACAATTAATATCATTCGAAATATGGATACCAACAGTAATAGCGCGACTGCTCGACAACAGTGATTCTGGTTGAAAAAAAAATAACAATAAAAACATTTGTTTCATTGCAAAGGTGGAAATGTAACGTTATTCGAACGCTTCGACCATATACATGCCGCTCTACAAATTTGCGTTTCTGAACGGTAATCATAGGCTCTTTCTCTTTAGGTTGTTTTCATATACTTTACACGACTGCCCGTAACCGACTTGCAAATGCAGTTGTGACCTTTCATCCACGATCGTTTGCTTGTTGATGTAAACACAGTTCCAGGATGTCTGCTAACAAATCTAAACAAAACGTTCACGCGGGCGAAACTAACGGCAGGGCCAACAAAAAATAATTAAGAATATAGCAATGACCGGTGTTGATAACGAAGGTCGTCATCATCACCATCATCGTCGTCAAAAAATATCAATGGTTTAAAAGAAATATAAGGTCTCCGACATAGCAACGACAACAACGACAATGCTTAACATCAACAAATAGGGTAGATGGCAGAAGACCTATCGTATCTAACCGTTGATGTTGAGCGATCAAAAATGATGACTGAACTATAAGCTGCCATAATCACGAGAATAAAAAAACACTACATATATACATAAAACATCATTAGTAAAAACAGAAAAAGACGCCGAATGAAACGTTACGACGAGTCTACCGTTATGTATTTAGAAAATCTATTTAGATTCGTGCTCGGTACCCAGCATAACTGGTTAACGTTACTATGTAATAAAAATTTTCAGACTACAACAAATAATAAGCTTTCAGAGTTTCTAACCAAGATGATTATTGAAAAAAGATTTTCGTACCATGAACGAATAACAGCGTAAGTTAGCGTCATTATTCGTGACCGTAACAAGCTATAAGGCTATACCAGTAACGCTCTCATTGATATTAACCTTCATGAAGGGTATCCTGTTTCTGAGACGGTGTCACTATCGAAGGGATTACTTAAACTTCGGTTAAGGATATGCTTTTGATTCCAATGAAAAAAAAAAAAAAAGAAAAAAAAAACAGTAAGATAGCGGTTCAGTCCGAGATGGGGATAGCTTTTTTTTTTTTTGGTATGCAAATTAACGAAGTTAACCTAGTAACTATATACAAGACAAAAAAAAAGTCATGCTACTTGCTTCAGTAAGGCCAAATGTATTCTAAGCTTGTATGGGAAGTCGATGAAATCGGTTCACGATATGCTTAATTAATGCTAAACGTGCAGTGGATTGAGGCGACGCATTGTCTGGGTCTGTACTATAATAAAAGATACGTGAGAAGTCTTTGCCTACCTATGTGCCATTACCAATATAATGCCATCATAATAATAACAATAATAATACTAATGATAACTATAGTAATTATAAGAATTGAAAAATGGATAAATAAAATCATATAAACGTGTTTCGAAAGATTCATTCATTCCGAACTATATATAGTTGACAATTTTGGCAGCGTATCAACAACCCGCCAAACGAATATTTACTCCAGAACTATATCTATTTCGGGTCGTACCTACAATGCACGTGAGCCTTGATTTTATCTGGTATCGTCTTCAATTTGTATTGTCATATCGGCGTGGCCAGGAATCGATAGTCTGTAGAAGAGTACAAACTAGCTGTGGCCCGTACCGCCTAGGAGAGACGCTGAGCGCTTTCGCGTGATTTGGATAACGTGGATATTGTCAACCAACCAATCCGTCAGATTATAATATATTTCACAGGTAGCAACATTTTTACGAGGGGCAGAAACTGAGTGAGCTAAAGATAGCCTACAACGAAGCCATTTTGTATATGATTTTGGTATCGAATCAGGAAGATACTATATTTTAACCAGCACTAATTGTACCGCTGTTATTCCCCGCCAAATTTCGACGCGTTCTGCTTTTGGACAAAAACATTTGACCAGGTAATAAAATCTGCTACCTAAGAGTGATACCGTTGCTAGCGATTCTGCTATTGTTGCTATTATCATTTCTCTAATATAGACGCTATACGAGTTCTTATAGATACCCGCATTGGCACAGAAATTTAAAAGGAGTACGATGCCTATGCTGAGACAAAGCAAGATTACTAGCCGATTCGCAAGACAATCGTGTTTTGATCATAAATTGCTGTTTTACGGAAGTTTACCACTGCCAAGTTGCTGTTACACGTAATTACGTCTGTTGCTTCTACTATTTACTACTTGGAACGTTAACTTCGATAGTGGAGTTGATGTAAGTGGCAAATTTAAATGTATGCTAATTTTGTGCGTAATCTGTAGTAACACCACAGATTTGCTTCGCAGGAGAGTACGTTTTTCATAAATAGTCCTGATACAGTTATGGCAATGGCTGCCCGTGACGATAAACCGGCGTGGCGTTTAGCAGACTACAAGAACCAAGGGAAAGACATTAATGAGATGCGAAGAGCACGCAATGCTGTATCGTTAGAGCTGCGTAAGTTAAAACGTGACGAAACCCTGTTCAGACGACGGAACCTGCCGAATATCGAACAAATTAACGAGGATGCAGGCGAATGGAGCGACAATGGTGATGATTTTGATTCGTTCAGACGCCTTGATGAGGTTGTGGCTAATGCAGCATCGCCAGTTGCAGACGTCCGACTCGCGGCTGTTCAGTCCATCCGAAAAATGGTCTCATCTCGAAGTCGACCACCGATCGACGAACTGATCCAAAAGGGCGCGTTGCCTATACTCATCGGTTGTCTTACTCCAACGGAATCTCATCAGGTACAGTTTCAGGCGACATGGGCTTTAACCAACATCGTTTCGGGTACCTCGGAGCATACGCGCGCTGCCGTTGAGAGCGGGGTCGTACCCTGCCTTATTACCCTCCTCGACAGCCCTAATAAGGAAGTGAGTGAACAGGCTGTGTGGGCGTTAGCGAATATTATTGGCGAAGGACCTCAGCTTCGTGATTTCTGTATCAACAATGGGGTAATACAGGCTTTACAGAAACATATTGCCCCAACAACATCAGAGTCGTTCCTGCGTAATATCACCTGGGCCGTAGCGAACCTGTGTCGTAACGAAGAGCCGCCGCTGCATATCGACGTTGTAAGGAAACTACTAAATACCATCGTTGTGCTCCTTGGCCACAGTGACAGTACTATTCGTATCAACACGTTCTGGGCTTTGTCGTTCTTGATGGATCCAAGTTCGGACATTCTTCAAATGGTTATTGACATCGGACTTGTCGACCGGCTTGTGCCTTACCTCGGTGATAACGACACGAAAATAGTGGTTCCGGTATTACGAATTCTTGGAAATTTGACGACAGGAACCGATGAGCAAACTCAAGTGCTTCTCGATGCTGGCATACTCAAGTATTTCCCGCAGTTGCTAACGAACCCAAAAGAAAAAGTTCACCAAGGGGCCGTTTGGCTGCTGTCTAACGTTTTAGCTGGCACCGTGGCCCAAGTTCAAGCCGTCGTAGATATGAATCTCCTACCATTGATACTTCAGCACCTTGCGACGAGCAGCTTCGCTACGCAGAAGGAAGCCGCCTGGGCGTTTTCGAACTTGTCGCTCACCGGGTCAAGGGAGCAGGTGGATTTAGCAGTGGAGCTGGGTCTAGTCGCTCCTCTATGCAATTTGCTAACTGTCTATGATACGCAGGTTGTGCGAGTCGTGCTTAATACGTTAAATAACTTGTTAAAGTTGGCTTCAACTACTCCGCGTCGATATCCACCAATTGCTGACCAGGTGGAGGAATGCGGCGGTCTGAATAAAATCGAATGTCTGCAATATTCCGCTAACGAGGGTATCCACAAGTTGGCGTCACTCCTTATCGACCTTTACTGGAGTGACAAGGACGTATTGGCGGATGACATGTTGTTCAATCAGGACGATAATCTCCATTTTTCGACGTCTATGAGCGTGCCAGAACAAGGATTCCAATTCTAGTGCTGCTTTTTATGAAATTCTTATGCAAACGTGACAGTACAGTATACAGAATTTGACTAGTCCGTTATTGGGCTTACAGAAAAAAAAAACCGATCTCATTACTTGACAAATGGCTAGAAACGCCTATCCGAAACAAGGTAGGATACGTGGAACTCTATAAAATACATGGATACATATGTCTGCGGTCTTATTTATAGTATACAGCTTAAGTAGGTCGTATGTGGAAAATTTTTAGAGGAGAGGTTACATGTGGTGTTAGAGGCTTGTCTTCGCATTGCGTCAGAAAACGCACGTTGTCCGAGAATAGAACCCGAATTCACAGATTAAGTAGCACTAAGGAAACACATACAAGGAGAAAACACAGACAGTACGGTCATAGTCGTAGAAGTCCTCTCACATGAGGAGACGACGTTGCAATATTATGTACGTATCATAAGAAAGCACAGACAGTACGGTCATAATCGTAGAAGTCCTCTCACATGAGGAGACGACGTTGCACAGTACGGTCATAATCGTAGAAGTCCTCTCACATGAGGAGACGACGTTGCAATATTATGTACGTATCATAATGAGGGTGTATATCTATGAGGGTGTATATCTAGAACGTGTTTACCTCGGATGATGTGTGCGGCTTAGTACCGAGTAACCTCGTGCGACCAATATAAATTAATAGATAATGGATAATAAGGAAGAAATGTCAAATGTGCATTATTGAATTTCAGTAAGGTGCTCGGAGACGGACGGCAATACCGCTAAGCTCAGCCCTAGAAAAACTGAACAAGCCTTCCGCGAATCCCTTTACTTTGATCATCGGCTCCTGCTAACTGAAGCTTCGGTCTATACGTTCCCTACACGTGAACATATAGTTGACTTAGCCGGCGACAGTGTCGATTATCGAAGTTGCTTTATACTCAATCAGTAACATCAGGACAAAGCGATCGAGATATGAGAATGAGTAGTGAGTGAAATAAGATTATTGTTATTACTGAACAAAATGAGAAATGTTATACAGTTCTCAGTTTCTGCAATTCTACGATGTAGAAGACAAAGTACTGCCACGTTATATACGTAGATAAAGATTAGAAATCAACAAACAGGTCTTCTTAAAAATTATAGTAATTATACGTTTTTATTCAGCGTCATAATTAGTAATGTCCGTTATGTTTTTATCGGTGTCACGTGTCGGTGTAACTGTCAAAGGCAACGATAGATGACGGCGAACAATTGATTTTTCGATCGGTTTTCTTGCGCAAGCAAGTTTGTTACTACGCTATCTTCAATACAATTAGCCTATACCGTAACAACAAAAGCGGCCGTTGGAGTGTTCCTATATAACACGCACCGTGTTGTCAATATTATGTACAAATTGGAACGTTTCTCGTCTGTCTCTGTGTTTCGTCATAGTTGCCACTAATCGTTTGGACTCCCGGAGAAATAATTCGGGTTCCGACAATACTCATTGCACTATTTCATTGTGTGTCCTATCCTTTCGAAAGTTTGCCGCCATAGGGAAAACTCTGAAAGCTGTCGCTACACCATCAGCGTCTACTGAGGCTTTTACTGAACTCATCGTGGCAGTCGGAATAAAGTACTTCGTTTTCATGAAGGCTTGATAAGAAGAAGTGCTCTCGTCACATCTACCGACTAACGCGTCGGAAACAAAAAAACAAAATAATGGCAATAGTATGTGTTTGACAGTATCGACAGTTTTGATAAATGCATAATGTGTATTAGTCTATGTGTGGAAAGAATGGGTGGCATCTTTTTTTTTTGTTACGAAAGTACAGGATCCCTTTTATCTGCTTGTCTGCTTCGCTTTTGCTCACGATCTGCTAATTAATCTCATAGATATTGTTCATTAATTAAAGTTTATAATAAGGGTATTGTTGACGTTAGTGATTACGAATTTCACTATCATCCTCCGGTGCGTCGTCCGTATTTACTGCGATTTCGATGATAGCTAAGTGTTGTCGCAATTGTATATCTATTTCTTTGCGTTATTTTTTTTTATTACGAGGTAAAAACTACCATCAAGCTAATAATTCATCGCCTCCGATCTCTATATAATCATTGCTAATGTTTTTGTTGTCACTAGTCAGACAAACGTATTCTAA